CTGTGTTATTCTGGAATATTATAGATCCACACCCACCATCATGAGCACGGATGGTGATCCTGCATGTAGATGGGATTGGTGTTTCCATGATGTCGACATACCCAGCTTCGGATCGACGAATGACGCCGTCAGCTTCTTGTTGTGCATGGTGTTGTATTCCGCCAGCGCCAAGCCCAGCTGCCTTTAGCTTTAGGACCATCTCCTCGTACATCGCATTGGCCTGAACAATTTTCTCACCAGTTAAAGCAGCAGTTTCTTGGTATATACAAATTCTATGGGCACAGTTATCTATGCAAGACATACTGCTAAATAAAACATCTCTGACAGCTAAAACAACCATAAATCAATAAGCTCTTAGTTCTCCTATTTCCACTCTTGCTACGGAAGCAAAAGCAGTGGCGGAGCTACATTGAAGGCTGCAGAGGCCATGGCCCCCCCAGCCTTGGTCAAATTCGTGAAAGAATTTTTTTGGGGGGAGAGATAGATTAGGAAAAATAGAGTCTTTTGGCCTCCTAAATACCCATATTTTGTTTGGCCCCCCCAAAGGATCCTACCTAGCTCCGCCACTGAGCAAAAGAGTTTCAACATTACATACAATTCCGAAAAGAGTCAAAGTTTCATGGATAAAAGGAGCACTACTGTTATCGTGTAAACTTAAAGAGCCGAAGTATTTTAACAATAAAAAGCGAGACTGAAGCGAAAGATCACCAAATATAGTACAGCAAGTCTCTTGTGATATGTCATGGTACACAACTAAGCATGCTGGTACTTGAGGTATCTCATCCTGGATCCACCGGGGACTATGGTAGGGAAATATGCATTGTTAATAGGGGAGAAGATTTTTTTCTGTGTCATCTTAGTGGGCCTAACAGGCGCTTAATAGGCAAGCGCAATCCTTGAACAATCTTGAATATGCGATAGCTTGTACAGGAACGGTGAAGTCTTAGCAATAGTAAAAAGAGACAACAGGGTACCTCATTAAGCTTCTCTGCCTCCACCATCTTCGCTTGCATCAATCGCTCGACCAGCTGCGTGTTCTCATGCTCCACAGCTTTCAGTTTTGTTAGCACCCGTTCAAGTTCGGCTTTAGCCGCCTGGTGCTCCTGAACGAGAAGATCTAAAGCGTTTGTCTTCTCTTCAAGTGACTGTTTTAGCTGTACGTTCTCTTCGCTGCAAGAGTTTCATCCGGACATCAACGGCAATGTTCATACTGAATTAAACACAGCAGCAAAACTATCCATCACATTCAATACCTAGTCTGCTGAAGTTCACTCTGCAAAGTCATAATCAGCGCCTCCTTCTCTTTGAGCAGCACTTTGGACGTTTTCGCCTCGTTTATCTCGGAAACGAGCTGCTCAGACAACCGGGATTGAGCCTTGTAGCACTGCTGCAGCTCCAACTCGTTCTTCTCGGCCTTCTCTTTCCACTCCAAAGCCTACAAAGAGGGTCAGCAAACCAGTCACTACATGCAGAAGGCGCCACAGAAGCTCCAAGTGCAAGGATTAATACTTATTTTCGTGGATTACTTAGTAAAACTATTCGACATTGTGATCGTGCTAATCCTACTTAAGCAGCAGTCACTGTTTCACCACCAGAGAGGAACAATCAACTTCACACAGCCGACCCCATCAGCACATTCTTTTTGAGACTTTATGTGGCTCGAATGCGTGTTCACTGGTGAAGTCAAATTGGCCCGATTCGATCCAAGCTAGCAAGATCAGTAACAAGGGGCTAGAGATTGGTACTTACGTGGGCGGCGAAGGGCCGGTTGAGAGCCTCGATGGCGGGGCGGTGGGCCCCCTCCTCGACGAGATGCCGCTGCCGCAGCGCCCGCAGCGCGCGCTGGATGGCCGCCTTGCCGGCATCTGCCTCCGCCTGCGTCCTGCACCACCAACCCTTAAGCAAACAACGGAGGAATCGCGAGATTTGCTGCTTAGTTCGAGGAAAGCTCACATGCTCGCGGCGATCCCGTCGGCGGCGTCGGCGGCGGAGGTGGCGTGTCCGGCGGTGCGGGGCGTCGCGGCGAGGGCGACTGACTTGGGTGGAGAGGAAGACGAAAGCGAAAGAGGAACGAAGCCGATGGGGGTGGCGTGTCCGGGCCGCGAAGCGAGCCTACGGGCTCGAGGAGTTGGAGCTGAAGCCCGCTTCGGGAGCAAACTGGGCCGAGCGAGATGCGGGTGGGGCGGAATATTCCGGCCTTGGCGACCACGCGAAGAACCGTCTTGACCAGCGACCGCGGGCGGCATCTCCGCCTCCCACGCCGCCTCGCTTCCCGGCGAAAGCCACGGCCGTCTCCGTCTTCCACCCCACCCCACGTGCCGTGCTCCGCACGTAAGTGCACATTCCCCTCGCCCCCCTCGTCGCGGAGCCGGTTCTGGTGCCCCGCCATCTGAATTGTGCCATCGAGGGGAGCATACGGCGAAATGGCGGTTGCCGCGCTCCTGCGCCGGGGGGCGCTCTCGTCGTCGTGCCGCCATGGTCAGTGCCCGCTTTCTTGAATGGCTTGTTGGGTTCCTGGGCGTCCTGTCTCTCCTGTGCGTGCTCCGTCCATGATGTTTCTTGAGCTGCTGTCGATGTCCGCCGGCACACGCGCACGGTGTGTGTTCGGCGGAATGCCAGAGGCCGGGCGCGCGATATGCGTCCATTTGGAGGTCAGCTTCGTGCTGCATGTTTAATTGGAGGAGCAGTTGGGTCAGCCAATGCGTCAATTGTCTGGGGAAATGGAAGAAAAGGTGCTGAATCATAGAATAGAATGGGGTAATTAGAGATGACCAATTGACCATGTCATACACACAATATAAGGGATATAGTTTATCATTGTTCACATGATGGCACAAATAAATCAGATATGACAAGTTCACATAAACCTGGGCACTGTGGTAAGTTAATTTTGGTGCTCCAACAGAAAAGACCACCCCTAATGACAAGCAATGCTAGATCATGAGGAGCTGATGGAGATTCAACAATTTCCTCATCCCCTTTCTTTTAAAAATGACTGCATCCTCTGCTGTTTCAAGCACATACCACAGCCGTAATAGATGGGGTGAACACTACTGGGAGTGGACATCAAAATTTCAGTCAATCAACTTGGGGGTACTGAACATGCTTAACCAACACCAGGGTCCAGGGCGAGTGGGCTATGACCTCGGGTTCGGCGTGCACTGCTGGCATGGGCGAGCCGCGAGCGGGCGGTGTGGCTTCAAATGTGGAGAAGCCGCGGGCACCGGCGCGTGGCTTGCCGGTGTGGGCGGACTTGGTCGGTGAGCCGTGGGCATGCCGCATGCATCCACTCCAACCGCCGGCCGAGAGCGGAGATGGAGGTCAGAAGGGGATCGAGGTCTCGGGGGAGGAGGTCTGTAGTTCAGAACTTAGGATAAGCTATCAGGTCACCGACGGCCGACGCCCAACACTGGCGGTGGAGACGGACAAACTCCATGGACGAGGCGACTTTTCTTTCTGAATCGCTCTATCTGATGATGGGCTGAACCTACGCAAGGGGACTATAAAAGGGCAACCCGGTGCATGTAGCTCCCGCTTGCGCAGAGTCCAGGGAAGGTCCGACCACTTTGGTTCTATTGTACGCAGCCTTTCCCTACATTTCTGTAAGAGGCTGTTTCCAGGATTTGAACCCATGACCTCATGGTCACAAGGCAGCAGCTTTACCACTGCGCCAAGGCTTTACGCAAGGGGAATATACCTAGTAAAAATTTGTTTTCACTTTTGGAAGGGGAGATTGTGGCTGGGTATTGTTCTGATGGATAGAGTATAGCTATGGATTTATCTTTATGTAGAGTACTTGTCGGTTGCAAAAAGGCGTCCAAGAAAGCGTCTAATCGAACTTCTTTTAATTTGACCATTAGTTTGAACTCATTTTCCCCCCTCTGATTTTTCTGTTTGTTACATTGGGGAAAATTGTTCTCTTGTACTTCATGTTTATGGTGGCATACATAAGCATCCATGCATCTTGTGTATAGATAGATACATGTTTTTTGCACTGAGATGGGCAGATTTAATGTATGCATATTCTGCTGTTAACATGTGTAATGAGCTTAACAAGTACAGAGTTAGCTCATGAGATAAGAGAGCGGACCTCAGTTCATGTCTCAACTCGTTATGTTAAAGAGCCGAGCCGAGCCAAGCTAACTCGATACCTTACAATTAGGTTATCTTAATTTATCTTACCAACATATTCATATTGAAAATAATGGACAGAGTTGCATCTTGGAAACTTTCATCTTGAATGGAGGGACTATAACCTTTATGGGGTTATGATATTACTGCTTAACACAATGGAAGCAGTTCTTTTTGGGGTGAATATGTCATCTATGGAAACCTAGTCTGCTGCGATTTGAACAATATTATTCACTTCTGTAAGCACATTGGACCCTGAGAGTTATCAGTCGCACGTGCAGCTTCTCCTTGCCATGCTACATAGAAAAAGCAGAGTCAGGAGATGGCCCTCGCCACAGTGGACTGTTAGTCTCTGCAGTATGCTTTATGGTGCCAAAACTTTGGTAGGTTGGTCTATTGTGCTAAGATTTTTTTTGTAACACCTTTTGTCTACAGATGTTTATATCCGTTGCCTTCTCTCCTATTATGATCTACATCCCTTGGTCAATTCTGCCAATTTAAAATTTTGGAGGGGCAACCACAACTCTGGGAAGTTTGATTTCACTGATATGACGTAAGAATAAATTTCGTTCCCCTTTCACTACCTAATATCCAAGTTTTCTCTACATATTCTTGTCAGTGTATAATGTGTGCATTATGTACCAATGTACTATATCTTCAAGGGAATCCGTTTCTTGCCTGCTTAAAACAATCGTCCAGTGTGGGATGCTGGTATCCAGTATGGTTCATCTAATTAATGAAGTGAAAACAAAAGGAGGCAATATTATTCTTGTGTCAAATATGTGACACAACAGTGATGCACATGCTATTTTAGTTCGTTTAATTGCCTAAGCAATCATCAGTTTGGTTTCATGCCTGGGAGGTCAACCATGGAAGCCATTTTCCTGGTACGACAACTTATGGAGAGATACAGGGAGCAAAAGAAGAACCTGCATATGGTGTTCATTGATTTGGAGAAGGCCTATGATAAGATACCACGGAATGTCATGTGGTGGGCCTTGGAGAAACACAAAGTCCCAGCAAAGTACATTACCCTCATCAAGGACATGTACGATAATGTTGTGACAAGTGTTCGAACAAGTGATGTCGACACTGATGACTTCCCGATTAAGATAGGACTGCATCAGGGGTCAGCTTTGAGCCCTTATCTTTTTGCTTTGGTGATGGATGAGGTCACAAGGGATATACAAGGAGATATCTATGCTCTTTGCGGATGATTTGGTGCTAGTTGCGATAGTCGGACGGGGTCAATAAGAAGTTAGAGATATGAAGGTGTAGTATCACCAAAGAACTAGCAATGGACAGGGGTGTGTGGAAGCTTGCTATCCATGTGCCAGAACCATGAGTTGGTCGCGAGATCTTATGGATTTCACCTCTAGCCTACCCCAACTTGTTTGGGACTAAAGGCTTTGTTGTTGTTTGTAATCATCACACCAACTTTTCGAGATTAATTATGTGCCAAGATATGGTGTAAACACTGTTTTCCTCATTGTCCCATAAAGACTTGAATTAAGTTCTGTGCAATCTTGAGTAACAGGCATCCTCATTTATGGTATCCGAATGCCCGAGAAAAGAAGCGCAATGTATTTTTGCATGTTGGTCCTACAAATAGTGGGAAAACACATAATGCCCTCAAACGATTAGAAGCAAGCTCTTCAGGTACTATTTTGATCTACCCAGTCAAACTGAAAGAGCATACAGTTTAAATGACTACTGCTCTTATTTCTAACAAAAAAATGTAGGTGTGTACTGTGGACCTCTAAGATTGTTAGCACGGGAGGTAGCAGAAAGATTAAACAAAGCTAATGTTCCCTGTAACTTGACTACTGGACAAGAAAGGGAAGAAATTGAAGGTGCAAAGCATAGCTCAGTGACGGTTGAGATGGCTGATGTGACGACTGAGTATCAGTGCGCTGTTATTGATGAAATTCAGGTATGTAGTGATCCACATTTTATGCACTCACTAGAAAAATGTATATTTGTACAATATTATTATTATTATTATTTAAACTAGTGTCTATTGATATTTACATATGAGAAAGTTGAGACCTATCAAGCTATTTTTTCAATAAACCATCCAACTAACCATACCTTAAACTGTCTACGAAATATTGTTTGGAATGTTCCTCATAATTCTTTTTTCATTTGCTTTGACGTAGTAGATGGTTGGCTGTAGAACAAGGGGTTGTTCATTTACACGTGCACTGCTGGGGCTTTGTTCAGATGAGCTTCATGTTTGTGGTGACCCAGCTGTTGTCCCTATTATTCAGCGATTGCTTGAAGCTACTGATGATGTGGTTACGGTAATTTAACCAAAACTCGCGTAATTTCTGATGATTGTTAATGTACCCAGTATGTAATGTCTTCTAAACATATGATAGTTGTCAAATTGAATTGTATTAAGGTTCGCACTTATGTTCCTCTGCCAGGATAATACACTAGTTATGAAATTAATTTTTTTCCCACATGGACAGTGAATTTAATCCTTTGTACAAGAAGAGTAAGACGATGTAACTACTCAATATAGGTAGGATGAAACAGTAGTAAATATCACGTCACATGTTTCCAAATTGTCTCCCAGTTCAAGCAGACAGTGATTTTCTGAGCTGGTCATATCTTACTTCCACACACAATTTTGTATGATGGAATCATGAAAGTCAGGGATAACAAAATCAGTCTATCTTAGGCTTTCGCCCAAGGTATGCTTTCTAACCTGTTACTCAAGTAATGCTCTGTCATGTACCAGTTTTAAGCCTTTGCCTGAAATTTAGGTTGCAACCCGGTGTAGTAAGTAGTAAGTAGTAATACTAATTTTGGACCTCTGCATGAAAACTGTGTGTGGTCATGTGGATCTTCTTTTTGTTAGAGTTGTGAGGTTGTTCTACGATTGCAGACAGTTTCCAAGTGAGTTTTATTAACTTATCCTGACCATCGTGCTATGTAGTACTCCCTCCGATTGATATTAATTGTCGCTGCTTTAGTACAACTTTAGTACAAAGTTGTACTAAAGCAGCGACAATTATCTGAAGTTGTACTAAAGCAGTGACAATTAATATGGATGGGAGGGAGTAGTTATTTTTAGTGCTAATTCTGCTGAGTACTGATGCAAACATATCGAGAACAGTATGTCACATAGCAAATATCCTAACATGCTCATAGTCAAAAAATATCCTAACATGTTGGGTCTATGTTGCTGAACAGATTCAATATTATGAGAGACTATCTCCTTTGGTTCCTTTGAAGTCTACACTTGGGCCTTTTTCAAACATCAAGGCAGGGGATTGCATGGTAACGTTCTCACGGCGTGAGATATATAAGCTTAAGGTTGGTATTCTTCAAGTGATATTCTAGCAATTGTTCATTATTTTGGGAACATGTCATGAAGTTAGAGGGTCATAGAAAAGAAAACTGAGAAAGTCTCACTAGTTTGGGGGGAAATCAGAAACTCGAATTTCAACTTTATTTACCCTATCAGCCCAATTGGATGTCAACATGTAAATTTGGAAATGATCAAAACTCTCCATACTCATGTATGACAAAAACCCTTGAATCAAGAGCTGTTTAGCTCTCTATCCAATTTTAAATTTTGAACACCACACTTTTTAATACCCAGAAAGAAAGGGAAGGGACAATTATTTGACCTTGGCAGTCAAACTTTTTTATGCCTGGAGACTGTATATCTGCATGCCAGGAGTTAATTACAGCTGATATTGGTTCTTGGTATTGTGCTCAGTGAAGGAAACAAAAGTACATCCGTGCCAAAGTAATTTGGGGAGGGGGGAGGGGAGGTCACACGATTGGTACTCACTAAATAATATAGTTGATATGTCATGCTGCAGTAGCAATGGTAGTTATGTGACATGATCAACTGGTAACATGTTTACCAGCGCAGCTGTTTTTCGTAAATGCAATATGATGAAACCTGTTTCTGTAGTTAGCAACCATCCATCCAAGCATCTCTATTTCCTTTCACCTTTTCATGATACATGCTGGTTGAATATTCCCAACAAATGTAAGCAGTGAAAATTAAAATGCAATCCAATGACTATTTCCAGAAGAACCAGTTAAGCCAGGGCCGCCAGTACTCCAGTGCAAAGATTTGGTCCGGTTATCCTGCGCTTCCTAGCCTAACTAAAGGAGAATTTGGCGCTCATAGTACTTACCATTTTTAGTTTATACCCATAGTATGTGGTTGCGTGCCCAAATACATGACAATGTTTTTCCTTTGAAGAAAGAATACATGACATTGATGCATCATTCTGTTATTTTATGGACTAGAGGGCTCTATATTTTTATTAAAATTACTAAATTAGACATCTGCCAGATAGAGTAAAATACAGAGCTTCAGCTACCCTTATATTGCAAATTTTCACTCATGCAGAGAAAAATTGAAATGGCGGGAAATCATCTTTGCTCTGTAGTCTATGGCTCATTACCACCAGAAACTCGAACGAAACAGGTAATTTGTAATACATTATTTGGGTATGCCCCATCATACTAGTATTAGAACATATACCTCATTGAATCATTGTCATATATCTGTAGGTCCTAATCTAATTAGAGTAAGGTGAAATATCACACCTTCCATTTGAACATGTTGACATGCATATCAGCACATTTAATTTGTTAAACCTACTCATTGAGTCATTGATATACATTATATAGTGTCATATAGCTGAATTTTGATTAACAAAGTTAATATGGTATGTGATGGTTGAGTTACAAATTACAACAATCTGAATAATAAAGCATTTTTTTACAATTACGAAACCCATTTTATCAATGCTGCTTTAAATGCTTTGTAATTGAGCATACTGTTCAATGTTTGGAACATGGATTTTTGAGTTATTATATTGTTGATTTGTACCTGCTATTTGCGAGAATTTTAATGAACACCACTTGTTTCTTTCTATATAATTTATTAATACAACATGCCCGCAACTCTTAGCCAGAATTAAAAGTTCGCGAATAATAGTTGTAGGCAATAAATTCAGTCTGTTGCTTGTCGTAATTTATTCTCCATGATGGCATGATTGTTATGGATAAATTTGTTAATCTGTTCCCTACGCTTCCAGGCGACAATGTTCAATGATGAAGCCAGTGACCTTAATGTGCTAGTGGCTAGCGATGCTATTGGAATGGGTCTTAATCTGAACATTTCTAGAATTATTTTCTCTACACTGAAGAAGTTTGATGGTATCTGCACCAGGGAGCTGACTGTGCCTGAGATCAAACAGATTGCAGGTATTATGTTTGCTTTTCAGTCGTTTTACCCCTGGCAGTTTTCTCTTCCCTTATTACACAGCCCTCTTGAGCTGTGAATTGAGCTTGTTCTGCATGTCTTATTCTTTTGGTAGGCAGAGCTGGGAGATATGGGTCTAAATTCCCAGTTGGCGAAGTGACCTGTCTAGATGCTGAAGATCTCCCGTTACTACACTCATCCCTGAAGTCACCTTCTCCCATTATAGAGGTGCCCACCCATTACTGAGCAACATAATGAATCCAACTGCTATTATATGATGAAACTTCAAAAAGCTATGTATGACTCGTATTTGTAAAAGCTAACCACAGATGCTGCATTGCTTCATCTGCAGCGTGCTGGACTTTTTCCCACATTTGATTTATTGTCCGTGTATTCACGATTACATGGAACTGACTTTCTTCACCCTATATTGGTAAGCTATAAGTACCATCGTTTTCGTATTGAAATGCATTGGTTCAAGCACAGAGCAGCTTCATACTTCTATAACATGTTACTTGTCAATGCCAAAGCTAAATGTTACAGTAAAAAATAGTTAATGATGAAAGCAATTTTGTTGTGCCAGTTTGTATGGGGCAGGGAGTTACTCAACAATTATTGTGGTTGGTGCGATCAATTATGCACTACAATAATTTAGCTATATTTTGAGGTATCTTATATTTGTTTGGATTTCAGCTTGACATTGCTTGTTCACAAGTCTCAACAATTATAAATTGGAGTTTACTTTTTCTCTATGTACTTCTTTTTCAGTAATGTGTTATCTTCTTCTCTCCCATTGAGTGAATCTCAATGCTTCGTGTGTATTTACAGCTATTTCCTCTGGACAGGACTCAGAAATATGTGTTACCCTTTTTTCATTCTGCTGCAGGAACGTTTCTTGGACAAGGCTAAACTGTCTCCGGACTATTTTATTGCCGATTGCGAAGATATGCTGGTATTTTATTTCATTAAGAAACACATTTTTTCTTTGTTTGGTCAATTTCTACAAGCTACATCTAAACAATGTAAATAAGATTGCCTGGGTAGAAAAGCACAAACTGGTTGACTGCCTTCTTTAAAAAGGCAATAACTTAGCATTATATTGAAATTAATATCGATAGACTAATAGTGAACTTTGTAACTGTAAGCTAGATTTATTTCTGCTATTGAATTGTGGTTCAATATTTTATCTAGTCACATTTCTTCCTCCCACTGTTAACAGAAAGTTGCTGCTATTGTTGATGAGTTGCCTCTTGCGTTGCGTGATAAGTACATCTTTTGTCAAAGGTGATTTACAATCTATCCCAGTATTAACATATGCCTTTTCTAGATTCTATTGTTCTAATCTATTGTCACCTATCTAGCATCCTGATCACTTTCTGACACTTCATACTGCAGTCCAGTGGATGTGAGGGATGATATATCTACTCAAGGATTAACACAGGCAAACATTTCTACCTCTATTGTTTATTTGTATGTTTTTGTAGAATTAGGAAACAGTTTCACTAAAATTTTCAAGATGCAGTTTGCAGAAAATTATGCAAAGAAAGGCATAGTTCGGCTTAAAGAAATATTTACACCTGGAACACTGCGGGTGCCTACAACACACAATCAACTCCAGGAGCTTGAATCGGTTCACAAGGTTATTCCCTATTTTATTTCTCTAGCAAATTACTCCCTCTGTAAAGAAATATAAGACTTTTTAGGTCACTAAAGTAGTGACCTAAAAATCTTGTCAATGTTCTTCTAATCACAAATACCTGTAATTTGCCAGTCAATACCAGCACTACTATAAATCTTGTCAATGTTTTTCTAATCACAAATTATTTTGCTCTTAAACATGTGCATTGTCTATTCTGTTGTGAAGGCAGTTTCTTTTCTGCATTATATAAACTTCCAAGTTAAAAATCAAACTTGGGAGTTCCAAGGATGGTACAACATACCATAGCATAGACTACCACCTCAAATACTGAAACGCAAACTAAAGTGGTTTTCTGTGCTAGAAATCCCCCTCCCCACCCCCCAATCACTGGTCTAGCACTCATTTCTCATTGATCCATAATTTTATACTTGTATAGGGCCTAACATGTCATTACATAATTCAGTGGGCTGCATTGGGTCTGTGTGCATGCAAGATGAGCTTTTTTTGGAAAAATGTTGGACTAGACACTTGTTGCCATTTCAGGCAACCGTTACTTCCGGAGAGTTCCTAGTTTCTACAGTGATTATTTAGATTCCATTTTGGCATGCCGCTGTCTCGAAACTGTTTCTAAAGTGAGATTAATCAGCATCGCATTTGTGATCATTACAGGTCCTAGAGTTGTATGTGTGGTTAAGCTACAGATTTGACGACTCTTTCCCAGATCGTGAATTGGCGGCTTCCCAAAAGTCAATATGCAGCATGTGAGTTCTTTGTTCTTCCCTTTCGAGTTAGAATAAAAAGGAAAAAGAGAGTTTATTTTTTCATCTTTTTTCGTAAATAATCTGGAGGTCTGATTGGCAATGTCAGGTTGATTGAAGAATACCTTGAGAGGTCAGGATGGCAGCAACAAGGACAAAGAAGGGTTTTGCGTACTCCACGGAAAATGCGCCGAGAATATGATGCGTTACAATTGTATGATACATCTCTTCAGATGCCATATATTATTTGCATTCTAAAAGATTAATCAATATGCTATAATTTGTTTAGCTAAAAGCCAGATTTCTCAACCTTCTGTAACTTTCATAATTCTGCGCCTCAACTACCCCCCTTTCAAATAAGTAGGGATGGTGACAAATGGAATAATCTATCATGCATCTACTACAACCACGTATACTTCGTCGTTGTTGGTATTCAACATTTTTTGCATTTTACCTTTAAATAATTTTTTTCTAGGCCGTCCCAGTTGATTTTCTCAAGTGGTTATGACTTGCGTTGTGTGTGCTTGCTTATGGGCTCATATTCTTCCTAGAGTTTTTTAAAAGTTTATTAGGGGTAGTGATATACTGCATCATGTACATAGAATTGTTGTTCCATCACTATGTGCTGCCATTACAATATATTTTCATGCATTTCTCTTGATGTGTGCCTCGAATGCACTTGACCACATAATATTGTTTGTTAAAACTTAAAAAGGCACTATTGCTAAAAAATCCTTTTACGTCCGCAAGAAAGTGTTGTTACATAAGATGATTAATTTTGATATCATTGTTTTCCCTTCTTTTTAGAACATCTGTTTCTTGATGTAACCATCTTCTGGTTAACAATGAGCAGGCGCGGATATTTTCGAGAAATTGACGCAAGATCAAAATAGAGGCTGATTCAAGAAACAACACCTCACCATATTTGGTCAATATTTGAGCAAATGTCCAGGGAATGCATCTGACTATCCTACTGGATATGTGAAATGTGATCACTGGCAAGCAGCGATAAAATGACACCTGTGTGGCAGAAGATCTACTTGGACTCGCCTTTCAATGCCATTGAAGTTGACCTTACGTAGTCAATGTGGCAGCACATAATATTATTCTCCATCCATGAGATTTGTACTACTTCCTCTGTTCACTTTTATAAGACCTTGAAGACATTTCAGACAATGTACAAAACATCCCATTTTGAGTTGTCTGAAATGACTTACAAAAGTGAAAGGAGGGAGTAGTTCTTTCAGTAGCACTTTCTGTAACTACTAACTAGTGCAAATGGAATTGTACATTATAAGTAAAACATGAGGTGCAGGCATGAAGAACCATTTGTCATATTGCAGTGCACCATTCCAAATTATTTGAAGTTCTAGCTTTGTCCTAAGTTGAACTTCTTTAAGTTTGATTAATTTCATTAGTTTCCTCATAAAATAAGTTTCCATACTATATGTATATTTGATGTTGTAAATATTAGCACATTTTGCTGTGGACATGGTAAAATTTATTAAATTTTGACTTAGGACAAAGCTAGAACTTCATATAATTTGGAATGGAGGGAGTATATACAATGACGATAATTTTCATGCCTGTAACTCTATGGTATCAGAAAGGCATTAATGTGTTTGCTCAACTGTTGGAAATAAGGGAGCGTAAATAAGGCTGCTGATTTTGTGAAGTCTGAATGCTGTCATATTTGATTTTGCATGTCCAGTTGCATTTTCGTGAACAACCTCTGTAGGGCTTGCAGGAAACTGTTTATATATGCTGAAACGCTAAATGGTGAACCGCTTCCACATTCTTTTTATACTGCAGACGTCGATGAACAGGATTAAAATTGACAGTTGGTAGGGGACTTGACCAATGTCCTTACTGCTATGGAACTTCTGTTCTTCTTTTTTAAGGTGTTGCGAATATAGTTCAACATAGCAGAGCAACATAATTGTAACAGATCAGTGACAGTGTAAAAAAGATTTTCCGTTTCGATGAATGGATAGGTCGAGTGATAAACTTGTATTACTGGTTTTGTACCTTCGCATTTGTTCTAAGGTTCATGGCCACAAGCGTTTGATAGTATGTCACTATGTTGTCCAGCAGCACCATCCTTGTTCATGTAAGGGAAACCAGTGTGCTTCACACTTTCACAGCAGCTGCCCGCAGGGTGAGAAGTTGAACCTTTTTCTTCGCTGAATGGAGATTTGCCTTATCAAGCTTCTCCACCACAAGATCAAACGTTTCTTTCTTTGGCGTAAAACCCTTCAGGACCATCTCCTCCAAGAACAGGCAAGACTGAGCAGGCTTCCCGTTCCGGCACAGCCAGGTTACCAACAAGGTATAGGTGCTGAAATCAGGGGTGATATCCTTCCTGAACATGTGGCATATGAGGAACCGGAGTACCTTTATCCATTGCCTTTTGCAGCACAGCTTCAGCAATGGGGTGTACGTCTTGATGTCAGGCTTGCATGACTGCTCCTCCATCCTAACCAGCATCTTCAGGGCATTCTCTGCCTGGGAGTGGTCACAGGCAGCAGAAATTAGGGTGTTGAAGGTAGCAACAGTGGGGGGAACTCCAGTGCTGGACATCTTATCGACGACGGAGTTTGCATCCTCCAGTCTCCCTGCTCTGCCGAGTATGTATATGAGAGAGTTGTAGAAGGAAGCGTCTGGGGCACAGCCATCCCTCCTCACCTTGTCAAATATATCCAAAGCTTCTTGCGTTCTTCCATCCTTCCCTAGAGCGTGCATCACGATCGTGTATGTGATAACATTTGGAGGGCATCCTTTCGAGCGCATCTCGTTTAGGATGGCGTAAGCCGTCTGAAAATCTTTCTCCATGCAGTATGCTTCTATCAGGCTGGTGTAAGTTATCACTGAAGGCTTGAAGCCATGTTCCTCCATCTCCTTCATCGTATCACGGGCTTCATTCATCATCCTCGCCTTGCACCACCCATGGACCAACGTGTTGAAACTACTCTCGTCGGGAGGTACCGATCCCCTCAACTCTTGGAACGCGCCTCTCGCGCGCTTCACGCTCCTCTCCTTGCACAGCGTGTCTAGGAGGACATTCATAGCTGTGGTGTCTTTCACAACACCAAACCGGTCCATTTTGTTGAAGGCGTCTATGGCATCGCTCCACCGGCTGGCCCCAGCGAGCCTCCTCATCACCTTTGTCATCGTTGCCAGCGACACCAAACCGCCAATCTCATCCATCTGAGTGATCAAGCCCCACATCAAATCAAACTGTTTGAACTTTCCTAGTATGTCAACCATCGAGTTGTATGAATCAGCAGAGTGGCAGTAGCCTTCCTGAGCACCGGCCCACATAAAGAACCCGAACGCCGCCACCCAATCACTGCCAAACCTCCTTAGGATCTTGTCGACCATGCGGTCTGATACCCTGACAGGGCAGCAGTCCATGGCTATCACGATGGCCTCCGGGGACGCAAAGCAAGAGGTCAGGATCCTGCTGGCTTCGTCGAAATCAGCCTCGAACTCGGCGTCCTCGTGGGAGGCAGCCTCGGGGCGGAGCGACAGAGGCTTGGAGCTGCCTCCATGGCTCCGTTCCTCCACGGGATCAGACTTGATCGGGAGCACAAATTTGTCATGGTCATCACCATCAAAGGAGTCGCCGTCCTTCTTTGGGTTCCTGAACCATTCGGGCAGCTCGAAGCCTGCAGTGCAGAACCGTGACGCGGCGTGGTTGCCTTTATGTGGCCGGAGCACAGCCGGCTGCGACACAATGACCCGGCAGCATCGTTGCATTCTTCAGCTCAGAAGCCAGAACAGGCAGGCAATTCGTCGAGCACCTTGTCCGCGCGGCCACGTGCTCCTCAAGAGCAGTCAAGGACACACCGTCGGTGCTAATCGTGACCGGCCTCAGGGCGACCACTAGCACCCTGAAAGAGCTTGGGGGTGGGGGGCCTTGGCGGCGACGCGGCCGCGTAGGGGTTGTGAATGGTCTCTAGTGGGCTGCTAGCTAGATGCCATGGGCGACGAGGAGGGCGCCGCGGCGGGGAAGGGGAGCTTCAGCGGAGGAAGGAGTTGTGAATGGTCTGTGCTGGGCTGCTAGCCAGACGCGATGGTGGACGGGGCGAGTGCCGCGGCGGGCGGCGCGCGGCGAGTGGGTGGGCGGCGTGGTCTCGTCTCGCGGTTGGCGGCGAAGTACTAGAGCACCCGAAGAAACGGAGTTAATTGCAAGGAACGGCAGAAAACACATATTTGACCTGTGGAAAAACAATTCAAAATTTGAACTGCTTTCGAAAAAAATTCACGCTGATGACCCTTTCAAGTGGCGCCCGATAGCAAGGCGTCGCACCCTACTATGCAACGCCTATCCCTTAGGCGTCGCACCTCCGGCCAGCGTGACAGCCCGAGGCCAGGCGCGGCCCCGCGGACGACAGTGCAGCGCCTAAGCGTTAGGCGCCACAAAGTGTAATGTGCAGCGACTATCGCTTAGGCGCTGCACTGTGACTTGACCCGCATTGGGCCAGGCCATCCCAGGCAGTTCTTCCCCCTCTCCCATGAAGTTGCTCTCTGTACAGAGAGCAGCGGCGGCGCCTCCTTCGGATCCCCCACCCACACACCCATCTTAGATCTTGAAGATTTTAGCCCTGGATTCGATCTCCAATCCCTCCTACTAGGTTAAACTCCTCTGTTCCCTTTCTTTTCCTCCGTAAATTCGTTGCAATTTTAGGGATTTGTCCAAGATTGGGTGGAACCCTTGATTTGCTTGGTTTGGATCTTTATTTGTCCAACATTGGGTGTTGTGATGGAGTATGTGGAGTCATAGTGGTACTATATGATTTTTGTTAGTGAAACCTAGATTGTTTAATTTTTTTAGATATATATGACATGCCTAGTTTTGTAGATAATTATGAGATGTTGAGTTTTGTAGCTATATATGAGATGTTGAATTTTTTTAGATATATATTAGATGTTGAGTTTATTTGAAATATGAGATGTTGAGTTAGTTTAACACATATGACATACGAGATATATATGAGAATTTACAATCATTTATTCATTGTGTGAGAAAGAGATATTGAGATTCTTGTAGATGAATACATATGAGATGTTTAGATGAACACATATGAGATGTTTAGTGTATACCGATATTTGAGATGAACTCATATATGTTTATTGTTTGAACTTTGTAAGGATGGTTTGGCTTCTCGACGATGCCATTGACACACAACACCGGGCCTACATGATGCGCGAGAAGGGGCTGGTAATAATGAGTAATCTAAATATTTAGCAAATTTGCCTTTAG